TCCGGCGGGCCCTGCCCCGTGGGGGACCAGTGCTGGTGGGTCCGTGCTCGGCGTTAATCCCTCCTGCCTGACCGCGCCGCACCGGGCCCTGTTCGTGAGGGCTGCTGGCTGCGGGCTCGGCAGAGCCTGCGCGGGCCGTGTTCAGCTGGGGACGAGCCTGCCTTTGCTCTCAGGAACATCCGTTCGATGGGTTTCTGTCCACGGGCGAACGGCGCTGTCGTAAGCCCAGCAGGCGTTTCTTCTGCGGGGCAGCGATGTGCCGAGTCCCGGTTGTGCCGGTCTCGAATTCGTGCTGTAAAAGAGTGTTTTCATACCTGTGAGGTGGCAGCGTTCTGCTGCAGTGCCGAGCTGTGCTGCCCGGCGCAGCCGTGCTCATACACGGAGTTTAGTTGCTGAACCCAGAGTCTGTGTTCAGGGATTTCAGAAATCCTTGGCATCATTGCTGTGTTTGAAAGCGTTTTACAGAGATTACAACACTCTACATAGGCATAGCTTCAGATAATTCGATAACATGCTTCAAGAGAGGCTGGTGATGTGTGACATCCTGTAAACCACATGTGTGGGACTGTCCCTAAGCATAAGGTATAAGAGTCTTCAAAGGGAGTGTTTCTCTCTCTGCTTATTAGGCAGTATCGTAAAATTCTGTGGCCTTATTGTTCTTTTTTAAACCTACTGCATAACTAATTCTGTATTTTCCAGACACTATGGAGGAAGGAAAAGAAATGGCAGGACACTGCTCAAGTCATGTGGTTGAAGAAAAACTGGGTATTTGCATGAGCAATGGTAGGTGGAAGACATGTTGGGATAGTCTCTACCTGGTGTATCTCTTACTAAAAGTTAAGACAGTTCAGATCAGTAGACCTCCTGTATCTGCTTTCTGTCTTGTTCTGTGTGCTTGTTTCCTTCCATGGGCTGCTGTTGGCAGTCTCAGATTTATAAGCCTCCTCGGGAGGCTGTGGCACACTGGTGCTAGAGCATGTGTAGTAGTGACATGTCATCAATTTCTCTTCTATATATCTAATCTGAGCTTGTTCCTTTTCCTTATCTGTCTGATGCTGATTCAATTAATGTTTATAATGCATATAATGGCTACCAGGAGAACGAACCTTTCTCACTGGCTCCTGTTACTCTCCTGTGGTGGTCTGAACTGGAAAAGAACTGACTGATAGGACAGTTGTGTTGTCATACAGCTCTAGATTATATATTCTCACTTTTCTTGATTGGAGGCTGCTGATACCCTTTCCCACAGCCAGATTCCATGTTCCTATTATGAATGCTTAGAAATTAGCATTGAAATCTTTTGTTATATTTGCATCTCTCACAATTATGATCATATTCACAACTGTACCTTCAATTTCTTTGACTTAAGATATGTTTTTATTATTTTAATTATTTAAACTTGGTAACTAAAACTTTCTTTGCCATCTGACATCAGCATCACCAAATTATCAAAGCATAATGCAGTAATTTTTATTGCAACTCCCCACTGTGACAAAAACCTTGTTATTAGTTTCAGACTTTCCTCTTCTGACTGATGAAAAGTTTGATTTTGACCTTTCACTCTCTCCAGCAAGGTAAGTGAAGAGGCTACAGGCAAATATGCCTTTAAAATGGATGCACATAAGGTGCTGGGCTGACTTTTTTTTTTTTGTAGTGGAAATGAAGATGAAGTTTTTGTTGGACCTTTGGGACACAAAGAAAAATGTATTGCTGTCAATATCGAAGCAAAAAAAAGTGCTGAAAAAAAGAGCATGCCTGCTTCTGATGACAAACTCGTGTGGAGCCCACTTACAGGAGAGAAATTTGTGGAAATTTTCAAAGAAGCTCATTTGTTAGCACTGCAAATAGAGACTGTAAGCAAGAATGAACAAACTAAAATAAATCAATCAGAAGAACGGGAAAACAAGATTACAGAAAAATTTGTGGAGGACTCAAAGTCAAAATTGAAAATACTGAGAAACCAAAATATAGAGAAAAGCCCCAGGGCTATTAAAAGGGAGACATACTGTGTGTGGGATAGCCCAGCATGTCAGCTGCCACCTTGTTTTCAGAAGGAATCGGATAAACTCTTGTCAGATGACAAAACACATGCTCTTCATACGCCTCCAACCAGAAGCCCCGTTAAAATTCGTGTATCTCCTACAAAAATTGCCAGTTCACCTTTGACACAAGAACAGAAAACTAAGGAAAGAAATACGAAGGCAACTGGCAAACTGACAATGACAAAACCTTCATCTGCTCTTGAAAAAAGCAATTTGACTGTTGAAAAGGTAAAGACAGCTTCTGTGCAACAATGTTTTCTTTAAACATGGCCTTTGTGTGTTTTAGGAATGTTTAAACTGTCTACAAGCTTTCATTTTTAGAAGTTAACTTTAATCATCTGATGTTTCTCTATCTCATAAGGTCCTCAGGCAGGAAACATTATATATAAAAAAGAAAAGTCGGGGCAGATACTCTGGTATAATAACCAACTAGCTTATCCATTATGACAACATAGAGCCTCTGCATGCAAAATTATTTTCCATTGTATTCTGATTTTGTGAATACTGTCATTCCTGGCTCCTGTTTAAACACTCTTCTGTTGCTGGCAAAATTACTGCACTGTTCTTAGTGACTTAATGTGCAAATATGGCTTTGTTTGCTGTTAACCCTTGTCAATGGAGGTGGTGTGATGCGGGTGAAAACCTCCACAATTATTTTGATAGAACAGGAAAATGTTTTAGTTCTGTCCACAACTTGTCTCAGTCATGAAGAGCACTGATTAATGGTACTACATTTAGGATGTGGCTGTGTGACCAACTGAAAATGTGTGATAGGATAGCAAGGAAACAGTTGTGTTAGTGACCTTGTGTGGATAAACCCCAGTCTCTAGATATTCTGTCTTCTGGATTTTATTGCTCTACACCTTATGGCTTAGATTCCAGTGTGTACTGCAGATTTTACTGAAAATGTGACGTTGTCTCCTTAGGAACCATCACCTACAGAAAATAGGGGACCCTTTGATTTCTTTGTGGTGTAAGTCTCTTCTTGATTTTGGGTGCTAGAAGAAAAGGCACAGTCTTAGTGCTTTAAATAGGCAAATTATACCTCACTGTCTAGATAGTTTGGATGATGCAGTCTACTACTGTAATGTCTCATCCTTTGGAAAGTTAAACAGAAGAATATTAAATGGACATCTCATAGTTGTAAGGAACAGCTGTTACAGCATGTAGGTGAACATGATTTTATGAAATCTGTGCTGATGAATTGTTGCAGAACTGTCCCGAGGTTGATCTCCAGTATCTGGGTTCAAGCATACTCTAGTATTTAGCAAATAGCCTTGCTAGGCTAACTTTACACTGTATTGGTCTAAAGACAAAAGACTTGACTGGGTTCAAAGGCTTTTTCATTGATTGTTGTCTTGGTTTCTTAACAAAATCAGTTTGTGTAAAAAGCTTTATAGTGGTTTCTAGAAACATGAGTAGCTTTTAAAATGTTGCATTGAAATTTGCAGTCCAAACCAGGAAAACAAACTAGTATTTCTACAAAAAGAGACATGAAGAGCATGGGATCATCTGAAGATCTAATTTCTGATAAATCTAGTGCTGCTTCAGAGGTCTTTGAGTCTTCGTTCAGCAGCAGTTCCTCAACACAAGAGAAAAAAGCCCTTCCTGCACCAAGTAAGGTAATGGTGGACATTCTTAATGTGAAAATAACTTTTGTGATGTTCTGATTAAAGGAGAAAACTGAATGCAGTTTACTTTCCAATTTAAAGGAATTTTGTTGCCTATAATGTTTTCAAGGAAAAGCAGCCTTTGTTTTGCAGTTGCTGTTCTTGAATGCACATTGTAAGTCTATTACACAATGAGCACACTTAGGAGCAACTATAAATGTGTTGGACTAACAAGCATTACCTTTGCTTTTAAAGCATTAGCTGCAGATAAGCAATTAGTAATTTTTGCAAGGAACAAAGTTTTTGGTGTGTGTATTTAACCACTATACCATATGAAAAGGTTGCTATAATGTGCATAAAGGTAGAACCCCTATAGCAGTCAGGAGTTGTTCTGAAGCTTTAGATGCCTGCTTCCATGCTGCAGGCCACCTCACAGAATGGTTGAGGTTGGAAGGGACCTCTGGAGGCCAACTGGCCCAACTCCTTTGCTCAAGCAGGGCCACCTAGAGCTAGTTGCCCAGGACCATGTCCAGATGGCTTCTGAATATCTCAAAGGATGGAGACTCAACAACCTCCCTGCACAACCTGTGCCAGTGCTTGGTGACTCTCACAGTAGAAGTGTTTCCCGATGTTCAGACAGAATCTCCTGTGTTTCAGTCTGCCCGTTGCCCCTGGTCCTGTCAGTGGGCACCACTGGGCACTGTCCCTCCAGATATTTGTATATACTGATGAGATCCACCTTGAGCCTTCTCTTCTCTAGTCTGAAACAGTCCCAACTCTTTAAACCTTTCCTGAGATAAGAGTTGCTCCAGTCCCTAAATCATTTTGGTGGCCTTTTGCTGGACTCTTTCCAGTAGCTCGAAATAGCTTTCACATTGGGGAGCCCAGAACTGGACACAGTTCCTCAGTGTTGAGCAGAGGGGAAGGATCACTTCCCCTGACCTCCTGGCAACCCTCCTCCTAATGCAGCCCAGGATACGGTTAGTGTTGTTTGCTGCAAGGGCACGTTGCTGGCTCAGGTTCAACTTGTTGCCCTTCAGGACCCCTCAGGGCCTTTTCTGCAAAGCTGCTTTCCAGAGGGCAAAGCTACTTTCCAGAGGGTTGGTGCTCAGCATATACTGGTGCCTGGGGTTATTCCTTTTATTCTTCAATCCCTTTAAATCCATACTCAGGTTTATGGCAGGAATAAAAATAATAGTCCGCCTTCTAGATCTTATATTCCAGTTCTATATAATAACCCAGATATAATGAACTGTATCCAAGAAAAATTAACTTTTTAAACTGTAATCTGAGGAAGTGGCTTCTCTAAAATTCACAAATTAAAAAACACATAATACCAAAAAAAGCACGGCAAAATAATGTTAAATAAGGGTTGGGTTTTTTTCTTTTAAATAAATATATTCTCTGATTCAGCCTGGCTTAAAGAAGATGACACATTTGAAGCTTCCTGGTGTTGCCAGTGGTCTCACAAGAAAGACTACATCATCAGTTTCCAGCATGAACTCGAGCCTGAATTCAAGTTTACCCATTTCTCCCATAGGAAAAAATGGTAATAGCTCTTACTACAGATTTGTGTCACAAATCAGTTTTGAATTAGCTAAGCATGTCTTGGACTGTGGGTTTGGATATGTTTTAATAGTGTCCAATCCATACAAGCAGTAAGAAATGTTTTGAATGGAGAATAAAATTCTGTAGGCTACTCAAATAAATCCCCATGGATTAAAGATAAATCTTAAACTTATATAATTTGTAAAAACTAGATTCATGTAAGCCTGATGTCTGCTGCAAGGGTGGGTCTGACACAGGTAAAAAGTAAGCAGTGCCTCAGGAAACCTTTTTGTACTTTGTTTTGTACATGATCTTCTTTATTATAGCCAAGTACCTGAGCTTCTGAATGCTGTAAGCTTGTCTAACTTGAGTTTAAAAAAAAATCCAACACCAAAACAATGGAAATACAGAAGGAAGGTGAAAAGCCTAGTTCTGAGTTCTGTAAGCCTAATAAAAGGATGAGCTTTACTCAAGCAGTTTGAAAAAACTCTGGGGAGATAACTGAATATAACCAAGAGGCTTATACTATAATGAGGACATAAATTTGATCCTTTCAGTAAGCCTTAAAGGATCAGGAAAATAAGCTCCTAAAAACAATGACAGATGTAAGCACCACAGCTCTTGTAGATCTATCAAGATACCAAGTTACTGCAATTTTTTATTTTGTACTTTTGTTTCCAGATGGATAATACAATATCAGTAAAAGTTAAAACTTAATACAAATTATTTTCTAGGTTAGAAGTCAAGAATCATCCTATTAATGAAAGTAACCTACAGACTAAAATAAAACCATACAGCAAACTGAGAAATGCACTTGTGGTGTAGTTCAGCCTGTGGTGTTAATCAGTGTAACTTGAGCTATTACCTTCTGAATGTCTGATTGAGGGAGCAGAGCCAACTATGCTGGGATAAAATGTTGAAAATGTTACTTGAATCTGCAAGCTGTTTTGGCATTCCTTGAAGAAAATTCTTTGACTCGATTGCAGTAATTCAGGAATTTGGTGAGGAGAATCTTTAAAACAGACAGAATTACTGAAGAATTCAAGGAGTAAGTTTTCAGTAGTCCTTAAATGCGAGTTGTTTGAACATAAATTTACATGCTGTAAATTGCTGTTTTTCTTTCCTGTGTGAGCATAATTATTCTGCTTAGTCGAAAACATCAATAAGTGATGATTCAGAAGTGTAACTTTCTATTTCAGGAAAATCAAGCATGCCTTCAAAAGCTAGTATGAGTGGCTCTAAGCTTTCACCTAGTACAAACAGACTGGCCCTTGTCAGACCTACCAGGGTGTCATCTCTGCAGGCTGCCAATACTGAGAAATCCAGTAAGAAAGCAAGATCACCTAGTACTCCCAAAATGTCTAGTGCTGTAAGCTTGGCTAAATCTTCAGCTTCTGCAACATCATCTGAGACTGTAGGCAGTGGCATTCAGAGGCTGGGCACTGTTCCCAGTCTGCTGAAGCTATGTCAGCAGAGTAAAGATGGAAGTGCAACAAAAGGAAGCCTGTGTCCAAAGCCCAAGGCTAGAGTTTTGTCCGTTCCAACAAGTCAAACTAAGGTTCCAGTGAAGACTGGAGGTAAGCATATACTTTGCCTGGCCTGTCTTCTTGCTTGGCTATGAAAAGCAAATGTTACCTTGAATGCTTGTTACTTGTTTCATTTACACTTCTATCCAGCTCTTGGAAGGAATTAGTATTTTAACTGAAATGTATCTGTTATTAAAAAAAAAAAAAAAGAATATGGCTAGCAATTAACAAAACTTTTCTCTTTAGATACACCACTAAAAAAATCAGCACCAAAAGCAACACCATCTCTTCAGTTAACATTTTGTGACACATTTGGAAGGTATGGTTTAACTGAAAATTGAATGTACTGAGGCATACTTCTTAGAATGCAACATGATTTGATGTTGCAATAATCTTTTAAAAGTTGTAACTTCATTGTCTAGTCCCTTGAGACCCTCCAGGTTAGTTGTGTTAATGCCTATTGGAAATTATTTAAAAACAAAAAAAGAGAACAACCCCCCCCC